CCCGGAGTCCTGGGATCGAGTCCCCTGGCAGGCTCCCCTCTCAGTGGGGAGTCTGCTTCTCCCTCTGACCCTCCCCCTTCTCATGCTTTCTCTCTCTCACTCTTTCTCAGATAAATAAATAAAATCTTTAAAAAAAAAAGACATTAGATCAGAGGTTCTTAATTCTGGCTGCACATTAGAATACTCTGGGGAATTTCTAAAAAAGTAACCCTGAACTTATCACAAACCACAAGTAAATTAGACTCTCTTCAGTTAGAGCCCAGAAGGGATTTTTTTTTTTTTTTTTTTTTAAAACCCTTTGGTGATTCCAGTATTCAGCCATGGTGGAGCACTAAGGTGCATCTGTAGAGATGTGTGTGGACTACATGGGAGCCCTTCTCATTATCACTATACAGACTCAGTGTTCACTTGTGGTAGGCACTTAGCAGGTGCATGTAGATTGAGTGAAATCTGGAAAGAGTTTTGAAATCTGGAAAGTTAAGATGGTGTCCATTGGAAAGTTCAAGTACTATATAAATGTACTGTGTAAACATGATATCATTAGTCACAAGTAGAAGACACTTCAAATAAAAAATTGTGCCTTAATTGTGTTAGTTGGGCAAGTCAGAATTCTCTGCCAATCATTTGATTATGCCACTATTTATAATATATATTTAATTATGACATCATGAACACCTTCCAAAATCCAGAGTGTTCTACAGATGGAGAAAAGCCATTGATGTAGTGCAGTGTGTGACAATGAAATTGCTATGTTTCCTTCCCTTCCATCATATCCTTTCCCTTCCCTCCTATCTCTTCCTTCCCCTACTCAGCAGAGAAATTGGAGAGATACTAACAGAGTGGAAAGTGTTACTTTAGAGAGAAAAAAAATGAGTCAGTGTGTTTTTGCCTCTCTGTCTGTCCCTCTCTTTCTCTCCAATCAATATAATTATGAAATAAAAAAGAGTTGATTATAGATTTTAGCCCTCTGATTCTCAACAAAAAAATCAGAGGTTTAATATCCCATTTAATTTGTTTCAATTCTGCCTCTTTCCAAAAAGTATTGGGCTGCACTGAACATAATAACATTGTAGAAAGACAATAACATATAAAAAGAAAAGTTAAGATCTTGGAAAAGAGGATGTAGTAATATGATAACCATAGGAACTTAGCAGAATTTTGTGAATGAGTAAGAAATTTACTGTGGGCTTCCCAAAAGTTAGGGCAAGAAACAGTTGACATAGCTGTACTTAGCAGAAAGGAGGAAGTGTATGGTGATTACTCAGGGATGACGAGAACCTTCTGCCACGAGACCTTAGAGGGGACGTTATGTGTTATGGTTGCAGCACCCTTGACTACAGCTTCACAACAAATACCAAAGTAGTTTCAATATCACTATTCCTGTAGCCGGAGACCTAACGTGAAAACCAGACTTGGTGAGGTTGATCTAAGATGTATTGAATTTGAGCTTTATAACATGTGCATTTTTTCTTTTGTTTTTATCACCCCCCACTTCCTTATTTTTTTTAGAGCTTTCTTAGAGTCATAGTTTAGATGAATGAGTTCTCTTTAACCTACAACATTTTGCATCCCCCCAGTTAGCTGTTTACTAATAGACAAGTTTAGAACTTATTTTTAGTTGCTTGGCATCTTTCGAAGGCCTGAGATCTGCCCTGTCTTTTTGGCTTTAGTTTCCCCTAAAATGACACTGGTTGGCGGAGGCTGACAAACTGTGTAGTTCCACTGGAAGGAGATAAGACCAGGGCTCGTGTGCATTGATGTTCTTGACTGTTGGCAAGAAACACTTTGCTCCAATGACGATGCAGCTGCAAAAGTAATGATGGAATTTGGTGCTACTTAGAATATTAGGGTGTCACGTATGGTTATGGATAGAAAAGCCAGGGCTACTCTTCTTCTTCCAATGAAATAAGCCAGCTGAGTCCTACCTTCCAAAAAAAAGTTCTGAATTCCACATTGGGCAAGTTCTTGTAGCTCAGAGTCCTCTGCTGGTGTTGTCTGTGGTTCTTAGAAGGAATTAAATGGTGAGGTGAATCTGAACTGAATGGAGAAGGCAGTTTTTATCATGCAAAATCTGTTTGTGTAAACTTGAATTTCAGTTGTCTTTTTCTCATTTCCCTTTTGGCAGCGAACATTAATGCTTGAGAACACGCTGCCATTCATTTCTCGGAAGCACCAAATATTTGGTTTTTGTCTGCATTCAAACAGAATCAGTTTCAAGTTGTGTCTGTAGATACTAAACATAAATATTTAGATAAAACAAGCTTATAAAGTAGGTAATTTGCTCCATCATCTGTGAAATTATGAATCTTTTTCCTATGGTAAATTGAAAAATTTATTGAACCCTTACTTTGTAAAAGGCATTATAATAAGTAATAAGTGCAGAGTAGGAGGATACATTATAAATGGTAGACCTGGTGATAGTCCACTGTGGACTTCCAGTCTAGTTGAGAAGTGAAAACATTAAATTAAGTTAGATTAAATTAAGTTAAATTAAATTAATTACATTATTTTAAAGTAGAAAGTTTTTGAGAGACAAAATTACCATTGTAGTAGAAGTTGATCGTGGATATATTTGGGGTACCTTAGAAAAAAGAGTGTAATGAAGTTAAAGATAGGTTCACAATAGGCTGATTTTAAACCAAGTATTAAAAGAGGCAATGTGGATTGGTAGAGATGACTGAATCAGGAAGGAGGAAGATAAGGATCATACTTTGAAACATATTTTTGGGAAACTCCTTGAGATGGAAAACTTGTCTGATAATAATTTTCATTACAATATCAGCATATAATCAGTAAGTTACTTTTAAAACATGAGTGTAGTTCTGGTGAGTGACTCATTTATTTCAAATATTTGAAATACAACATTGCAGTATGATAAAATTTTTTTTTACTATTTTTGACATACGTTTTAATAGTGTATGATATATATTATAAGTATACAATTTTATTTTAGTAGTGTATGATATGTATATATATCCTTTTACATATGATTCTAGTAAGTTCCTTGATATTCAGATAATATACTTTTTTTAATTGTATTTTTTTTATTATGTTATGTTAATCACCATACATTACATCAGTTTTTGATGTAGTGTTTCATGATTCATTGTTTGCGTATAACACCCAGTGCTCCAGGCAGAACGTGCCCTCTTTAATACCCATCACCAGGCTAACCCATTCTCCCACCCCCCTCCCCTCTAGAACCCTCAGTTTGTTTCTCAGAGTCCATAGTCTGTCATGGTTCATCTCCCCCTCTGATTTCCCCCCCTTCATTCTTCCCCTCCTACTATCTTCTTCTTTTTCTTTTTTTTTTTTAACATATAATGTATTATTTGCTTCGGAGGTACAGATCTGTGATTCAACAGTCTTGTACACTTCATAGCACATACCCTCTGCAATGTCTATCACCCAGCCACCCCATCTTTCCCACCCCCCACCACTCCAGCAACCCTCAGCTTGTTTCCTAAGATTAAGAATTCCTCATATCAGTGAGGTCATATGATACATGTCTTTCTCTGATTGACTTATTTCGCTCAGCATAATACCCTCCAGTTCCATCCATGTTGTTGCAAATGGCAAGATTTCATTCTTTTTGATGGCTGCATAATATTCCATTGCATATATGTACACACACACCACATCTTTATCCATTCATCTGTCTTTTTATAATTAATCTTTCATCTATCATTCTTAATAGTGTGGGTGCTCTTTATGTTTTATTTAAAATATTATACTTCAGTTTACCATTGCAAGACTTTTTTATGTAGAAAGGTCTTTTTTCTTGGGGCACCTGGGTGGCTCAGTCGGTCAAGTGTCTGACTCTTGATTTTGGCTGGGGTCATGATCACAGGGTCGTTGGATTGAGCCCCATGTCGGGCTCCTTATGCACTGAGCATGAAACCTGCTTGAAATCCTCTCTCTCTCTCTCTCACTCGCTCTCTTTGCCTCTCCCCTTGCTGGCATGTGCTCTCTCTCTCACACACACAAAAAAAAGTATTTTTCTTGCTTTTTAAAAACTAAAATTCTGAAAGCAATATATTAAGATCTCTCTTCTGATCCTTTAAATTTAAAAATTTAAAATGAAATTTTGAGTTTATTTTGGATTGTTTTTGCTACACTGTTGTATTGATCTCTTATGATTCTTATGGTTTCTTTATTTTTCAAGGGGTCTTTGGAACCTATATTTAAAAACTCTGAAAAATGAGTCTTCTCTTACTTAATACACACAAAATAGCTTTTAACAAGGTATTCATACTTCATATAGACATACTGCATTGGGACTCTAATTAGTCAGGATGAAAAAAGATTATTCTAGTTTTTCATCTTTTTCATTCCTGTTGCATCTTTCAAGAACCCATTGCCATCCATCCATCCACCCATCCAACCATTTATTCTTTCATTTGATCATCAAATATGTACTAAGTACCTACAGTATTCAAGAGAATGAGCTGGTGTCTGGATGGGTGATAAGATGCTACAAGAGTGACTAGATTCTGAGACATAGGACTCTGGGAAACAAAAGTAGAAACTGTGAATTTCTGTAAGTAAGGGTTAAGTAATGTGCCTCAGAAACCTGCAGATAACAAAGGAAATTTCCAACTTGCAGGGAAGTGGGTAAGTGCTTCAGAAATGCTTTTTCACTTAAGCTGACCTACACAATCCTTGTTTGTTTTGGATGAAGGAAAATGTTTTACTCCTCAGCATTTAGTCAAACAAATATGATAGAAGTTATCTGTTCTCAGCTCAAAAAGGCCTAGAATATACCTAGATTTCTCAAGTTATTTCATATTGTCAGTACTTTTATTTTTTGTAGTTAAAATACGAATGCTATTAAATACTTATTAAAATAGCAAAAAGTATGAGAAGTTATCTGTCCTCAAAGATGCCCATGTTCTTTCCTCTTACTGAAGAAACCTTAATTGTAATACTGCCATGTTTTTTGATAAGTGCTTATTTTGATCTTTGCTCATTTTTCTTTTGTTTAATTTTATAATTTTCAGAAGCAAAATCAGTAAAGGCTTGGAGGATTTAAAAAGTGTTAGTCCAGTAGGAGAGACATACATCCATGAAGGACTAAAGCTAGTAAGTTCTTTCACATTTATAAGTATGGGAGAGAATGTTTTCTTATTCTGTAATGCAATAAACTATAACTTTCTAGTAAAACTCAAAGACCCCATTACATGTTTATCTTTAAAAAAATTTTTTTTTAATGCTTTTAGTTGTTCTAAGGATGAGACTGATTTACCGTGGTGATAAGAAAAATTTGGATGGCATTTTGCTTTTTAAGGAATTTTTGTGGTGTGTGGTTATTTTCAGACTAGTCAATCAAAGCTTAAAATTTGTATCCTTTAACCCAATAGTAACTACTCTATAATGTGAATCTATACATATTTCAAATAAAATAGTTAACACAAAATACCCTGTTTTAAAAGCCAGTCTATAATAATTTGGTTTTGTCAGACTCATAAATTCAGCCTGATGGAACATGCTGGTTAAAAGTTAAGATTAAATTGTTAGTTGGATAATTATTCTATGTTTTCAGGCAAATGAACAAATTCAGAAAGCAGGAGGCTTAAAAACCTCCAGTATCGTAATTGCTCTGACAGATGGTAAGTTGGACGGTCTGGTACCATCATATGCAGAGAAAGAGGTTAGTATTGAGCTGAAACTGTTCCTTATACCCCAGTGTACTTTGCTGTGTGTCTCTGTATCTATAGCCTGATATTTGAATAATGCAACCCTCTATCTCTCTCTCTCTCTCTCTCCATAGGCAAAGATATCGAGGTCATTTGGGGCTAGAGTTTATTGTGTTGGTGTCCTTGACTTTGAACAAGCTCAAGTGAGTGCAGCAGATCTGCAAACCTTAATCTAAATTACATAATTGTTTTAAGAGTAGTTCATCAAATTCTTTTCACTGGTGATTTACTGTGACACTAATTGCTTGCTAAAGATTTTCTATAAAATGATTTTGAACTCTGCATCAATAATGTCTGATTTTGATAGGTTTCATTACTGAAAATGAAACTCTAGAATTTCTTGAATATTCATTTGGTTTGGAGGAACTGATATTATAGAACACACATTTGGATTAAAATATTATGAATACTCCTCCTTGAGCTCAACTGACAAGATTATTATGACGGTCTTATTTAGGTGTTTTAGTTTGATTGAAAACTTGACTCCTAGGAGTGCAGGGATTTGGGAAATCTGTTTAGAGGAAATCTTTAATAATTTTCATTCCAAAACCCAAATTTTTTCGTTAAGTTTTGAAGGTTTATATATTAATTTTTTTTTTCTTGGCTCACCAGATGATTTTACATTTAAATTTCTGGTTGAACATGACTAAGATTCCTGTGTCTCTTGACATTTACAGCTAGTAGAACTGCACTGTTTTGAGATTCAAACTTGAGGCCGATGTAAAGGGCCTGTGGCTAATTCATTTCATTGCACTATGTTTCGAGTAACACTAGTGCCATCTCCTTCAGTTCCTGACAGGCTACACTGGTGAACTGATCCTCTGGTGTAATTTTCAGATGAACATAACTGAAACATAATGAAGTGTATAAAATGTATGTCTCAACTACCCATTAATTAAATGTTCCTCATTTTTCTAAAGCTGGAAAGAATTGCTGATTCCAAGGATCAAGTTTTCCCTGTCAAAGGTGGATTTCAAGCTCTTAAAGGAATAATTAATTCTGTGAGTATTTTTCTGGGAGTAAGAAAGGCGTATGGTTTTAGGTACATTTTACAACATAAGATGTAATCTTGATATCCATTCAGGTGGTCGTTATCTTGAAGAAAGAGATTAAGAAGGAAGTTTGTTCGGTATTGAGAACAAGGCATTAATTCTAAAGATCTGGATTTTGTTGGTGTTAATTGTTAGTATTAATGCTTATAAATTGAACTCTGTGAGCTTGGGTTTGAGATTCCAAGTTTAAGATCTTCATGAACAGTCTTAGACACTTCCACCCTATGAGCATGGAGTTCCTCATTCTCTTGATATCTTGGAAGTTTTATAGGCTTTCCAGAAGATAAAGTAAAAATTTGGATTGGAATGTGTGTGTCTCCCTCCTCCAAACATGGTGTTTCTTAGCTATCAGGCAGGCACCGTGCACCAGCAGCTGAGTATTTGCCGTTGTTCTTTCCCTTTTAATGATTAGTTGTTTCACTGGAGCTCATAATATTTCTGTTTGGAATTCAGTTGCACTGTCTCTGGTGATTGTTAGAATCGGGGCTCCCCTAAAGAGGGTAAGGGGAAGTGGGATGAGGAAATGCAAAGCAAAACTCCTACGTTTCACAGCTGAGGTTTATGTTTCATTTTACTGCCTTTTGCTAGAAGCACTTGGAACAGTTGCTATTAAGTATTTATGATATTTTGGTAAACACCATCCTAAAATGGAAGTGAATAATGTATATTCTCTAAGTCAAAGCATTTCCTTTCATCTTTAGGTATTTACTGAAGGGAAAAAAAGATAAGTCTCAGGGTCTTCGGACATTTGGTTCTGGCATTTAAAATTTCTCTTTAAAGATCATGTTTTTCAGAAACCGAGTGAGATCGATTGATTTTGTTTTTAAGTAGCCTGTAGGTTTTTTTCCCCTCATTGATGGAACTTTTCAAAGAAAAAAATATGATGTGGTTCTATTACGTATCAGTACATCTAGTGGACAGGCCGGATGTAAATACAGGAACAGTGTTTTATTATTTTAAGAGTTTAATTATGTTTAGTATTTAGAAAAAATTGCAAGATAAAAAATAGGAAATATTTGGATTCATATTTATATGAATATTTATGTGGATTTATATTTGGATTCAAGGTACTCTGTAACTGTGATTTGTTTTAAAATACAGGAAAATGGATGGACAATGCAAAAGAGCGGATAATTTGATCCTGTAAATAAACAAAACAGTGGAATGTATTTTAAATTTATGCTGGGGAATTTGCAGTTATTTTTACAATTATAGAGGGAAGGAGAGAAGGCGTCTCTGGGTTACTCCCTTTGGAATTTTTTTTTCCCCTCTGTATAAAAGGTTCGATTCAAAATCCTCGGTGACTAATTGGTTTTTAAAACTCTCTGTAGGCTGTGACTGCGTTTTTCTCCTTCAAGGAACTGGTAGTTGACTACCAGAGGAGATAAAGTTGTTTTCTTATATTTATTTGTTAAGTTTCATCTATTTTATTTGTATTAGGGAAACTTTAGAGTGGAATTTCTAACTACAGTCTTTCTGGCCTGAAGTTCTTCATGGACTTTAGCTTGAGTAAGTTATGTTGAAAGATTTGGCAAGCAGTTAGAAAGATTTGTGTTATTTTAGCCACAAATTGCAAGCAAAGCGTCTTGAGTTTCATCTGGTGGGGGCCGATGGGTATAGTGTTCATTCTAATATAGTTAAACTTCAGCTATTTTGTGAAAAAAAGGAGTAAATTATCCTTAGGGAAGCCAGCCTCTGGGGAAACCGGAGCGGTAGTCACATGTCAAAGTTGACAGACAAATAGAATCATTACAACCAAAGTTGATCTAACTAATGGTTGAGATTTTTATCAACATGTTGATAGCTTGGGATTTTGCTCACTTTGTAGAAATTTAAGGCAATTCAAGCACTTTATGTCTCTTCAAGGCAGAGATTGCTCCATCTCTGGTAATATACAAAAGCTATAATTCTGCCTTAAATTTGAATTGCACTTTATACTTACAAAGTACCATCTTATCTTCAAAAAATTATATTTGGTATTTAAAACAAATATACTGTATCTATTTCAGGGTAAGGGCAGAGAGAAGAGACTATCCCTTTATTCTTTATGATTTACCAAACTAGTGGATGAAAAAAATTATACTATGGAATGGATTTATGCAAAGCTAAGCAAATGTAAATAATCAGAAAATGTAAGTCTTTCAGATGTCTGGTACTTTGAAGGCAAGATATTTGCTAAATTGAGAGATAATTTTTTTTTTTTTTTTTGCTGGAAGTTATTCATATGCCTGGCCTTATCGTCAATGAATTAATTTCTTTGAAGTTAATCTTTAATTGAGAAAAAAATGTAAGCCGATTTTCTTGTTTTTTTTTGTCCTCCCTCCCTTGCCCACCCAAATCCAGTGACCTAGATGGTCTGGTCCCCTTGCTGTAAATCACATTTTGTTGAAGCATAGTTTGTTCAGAATCAACTTCTTAATCAGCAAGGACAGGAGTTTCATTTTGGAGCCTTCCTTCACTGTAGTTAAAAAAAAAGAGAGAGAAAAGGAACACTGTAGTGGTTCTTTCTCTTATAACTTCAAAAGTGAGTGACTGGAGAAGGCCTTTGTTATGAACATTTTGCATGTTAACAATTTAATGCCTTCTCTAAAATTTATTTGATTCAAAAAATCTTTTTCACGTTTTATTTTCATTTGGAATGAAATAAATCATTTTAAAATTTTTAGATTTCTATCCAGGCAAACATGATATCTAACAGTTATCAGAATATTGGTTTAATCTCCAACCTTAATTAGGAATATAAAAGTTTAAAATTCATTATTAGCTCAAGTAGATGCTGGTGAAAACTTTTCCTCTTTTTCACCTCCCTTCCCCCCATTATCTGATTTATTCTTTCATCCACTTATTTATTGAGTTCTAACCATGCTTAGGGCACTGTGTTAAGCTTGGAAGAGGGGACACAAAAAAGACAAATTCTCTGTTCTAAAGGAGCTTGAAAATAATGATGACTTGAGTTTGGAATATGGTGGTCTCTGTAAGAATTACAGAATGTGGTGATAAGGAGGAGGCTGGAAAGTTTGGTGAGTCACTCTGGCTGATAGAGAGGAACCCTATCTTGCAGTTTGCATTAAGATGCCAATATGGCCAGAATAAAGTTAACAGAAGGATGGGATAAGTTTCGATATATGAAGTCCTGGGAGACTTTTGGTGGTGGAATTTGAACTGTGCTCTGACAGTTGGAGTAAATTAGAAACAAGGAATGTAGAACTTCAGAAAGAGCCTGGGCTGAGTGGCTGAGGCACAGGAGGGAATGTGGCCTGGCTTGGATAATGGAGGAATAATGAGGGATAAACGTTGACGGGCAGGCTGGATCCAGATTATGGAAACTCTCAAATGTTTGAATGGGGAAGTGGCACTAATTTCATAAGTAATTGGAGAATGATGGAAGAGCAACTTAAGGATGAGATTTATATGCTGGCTGAGAACGTTTAGGAAGAATATCCTTACGGTAATGTATAGGATAATTTGGAAGACAGAAAGTTGTTTTATAAGTCTCTTGGAAGAGTCCTTGTGAGAGACATGGCAAAAGGAAACCTAATATAGTGAAGACAGTATGAAATTGGGAATAGGAAGACCTGAGTGTGAGTTCCAACTCCGCCACTGCCTAGCTATGTGATGCTGTGTACTTTCTATCATGTAATCTCTCTGATTTTAAAATTCTCATCAAGTCAAATGGGGAAAATTCTATTTCTTTGAGTTGTTTTGTGAATTAAATGAGATAATGATTAAGAATGGTCTAACTCAGAAGGACGGGGCTTTCGAACATTTGGTAGGAAGCTAGGAATGTCAGAAGTTGGGACCATGTAGGATGGGGTTATTGATCTTTCTGCAGGGCAATCCACTGAGAGTGATGGCTGGAATTCTAAATAATGACTTAGGTCTAAAAGGGTATGGCCTTGATATGTGAGAGGATCAAATCTCCAGGGACTTCTAGATGGTGTAGCTAAGCAAAATCAAATAGTTCCAAATCCTTAGGCCTTGGGACTCGGGCCCAGCCAGCAACTGGGAAAGGAGACTCCCATGAAAAAACTATGTGGAATTTTGGGACTCTGCATTTAGAAAAGAGCTACAGTTCTTGTTGGGGAACTTGTAGAGCTGTTTAGTGATTCAGAGTAGAAACCTAGTTGTTGAAGGGGAAACAACATCTTCAATGGACCATAGTTACTTAGGGTGTATCTTAGGTACTGAGATTCTAGGTCTGTCCCAGTAAAAGTAGGTCAAGGACCATAAGGAAAACATGCCCTGGTCAGAATCATGTCAGGAATAGGGTGGGGCAGAACCTCCAGGGAACAGTTTTTCTCTTGCTGAGCCAGGCTCTGATGGCTCTGGAAAATATTAGTTGCTGTTGTTGTTATTGTGATGGCAGTGAAACTGGAAATAAGAAGGTGAATTCGAGAGACCTTAAAAAGTTAATAGAACCTGAGAGATCACTGGATATTGGTTGAAAAGGATGGAGAGGGGAGTCAGCTGTAACTTGGGCATTTTGCCCCCGACTACTCTGAATAACGGGAAGCAGGGAGGGTGAAGATTGTTTTTACAGAGGGGCCTGGAATACTAAAGGACATGGTGGAATCAGGCAGAAGGGCAGAGGGAGAAGTTGAATTGGACCTGGGGAGTCCCCATGGGGCATGTCCCTTAGGGATGTGGAGGTCCAGGGAAATGTGCAAGTCAGAGAACTTCAGAGTTGACTCATTGTTCCTCCTTTTGTGTTTTCTCCCCTCTGGTTGCCCACAAAAAACAGGGATATAATTCTTCTGTTTTCCACTTTAGATTATTTTTAATATCTTAGAATGTTAAACAATTATTTTTGGTTTCTTGGAAAGGTGGTTGCAAGGCTTTTCTTTGAAAATGAAATTTTATTTGAACTAGTCAGACTGACATGTGAGCACCATGTGGTTCAGCGTTTCATTAGGTAGTGCTGTGGATGGTAGCATTCAAAATAAAACAAA